CAACGTGCAGCAGGACAGCAGCGGCTCGACGGCAGCACCTGCAGGCCCCAGCAGCAGGTAGCAGAAACAAAGGCAGGTGGCAGCAGGGGCGGCAGCAGGAGGTGCCACGGTAGCAGCGGGTTGCAGCTGCAATTTCGTGACTATATTCCACCACCCTCTCTTACCCTCCCCCCCACAACAGCACGAGCGGTAGTGAGAGAGAGAGGAGGGGCGGCTGTTGGCTATGCATAATCTCTCTCGCCACCCCCTCACACTCCCCCTCCCCCCACGGGTGCGCGAGCAGCAGTGAGAGGGAGGAAAAGGCGAACAGCGGCGGCAGGAGCTGTGTCACCCACGCGCCAACCCCACATCCCCCCCCCCCCCTTTTCACTGGCGCACGAGCAGCAGGTGCGGGGCAGGGGAGCTGCGCAGTAGCGCGCAGCCATACGTGGCTGCGCGTGGCTGTGCGCGGCTTCACACGGCCGTACGCAGCTGCGCGCGGCTGCGTGTGGCTGTGGCAGCTCGTAACGGGACGAGGGGCGGGGCAGATCGGGATGGGGCGGGTAGCGCGGGGCGGGTGACAGGGCAAAGGAGCAACGGGGCAGCAGGAGCCGCCCAGCTCGTCGCCATTTGAGCAGACAGCTCGTCGTCGCGCCCGTCACGTCAGTCACAACTAAGGCCGCGACGGGCGCCACGAAACGAGAAATACGCGGTGGGCCCATGGGGTAGTTAAAAACAGCGGGCCAGGATGTCACGTGCTTTGTACCATGTCAAACATAATAGTTGAGGGGCCTAGGGTTCGACCTAGGCATGAGTGACGAGAGGAAAAGTGCAAGCCAAAAAGTGGAGTTCAATAGTAGAGGGCATACAAGATATAGGCAAGGAATTAGGCAAATGGTACACCACCTAGCAGGAAACTAAGATAACTACACTAGGCTACTATAGGCATTTATATGAATGTATACAAATACATTTCAACACAGAGCAGTACTCCTCCTCGTCATGCGCTGCTCCCGTGTACCCTTTCAAACCGCCACGACATCCCCAACCCTCACCTTCCGCCACGTCACACCATTTTGCATCAGCCACGTCCACCAACAACCCGCACAACTTGCCACATCACACCCCCCCATCCCAAGCCACGTCACCCCCCACCCACCTGACATGCGTCGCCTCGTCATGCGCCGCTAGTACCCTTTCAAACCGCCCCATCATCCCCAACCCCACCTTGGCTGCCATGTCAACCCCAGCCCACCCCATTTGGCCCGCCACATACCGGGAATGTGTTTGTCTCCTGCAACACAAGCACTTGTGCCTTGTCCACGGCACTCATCGGCAGCGGGGTACTAGCCATAGGCACCACTGCGGACCCCCCGGCAACACTGGCAAGTGCTCCACGACGCAGGCTGATCTGAGAAAACATGGCATACATCTCATACCGTAGCGCCTGGAACTCCTCGCGTGCTCCGCACTTTCACCTAGGGCACCCATGAGATAGGGAAAAGGGTGTGGAAAGAGCTGAGAAGGGTTTGGATAGTGCAGGAATATGAGGGAGAGAGACAGGCGGTCAGGGGTCTGATGGCCGGGCGCTCCAATGTGAGAGCACAGGCGGGTCATTGGTCGACACCATGTCGCCCAGCTTGCGCTGTGGGGTAGAGGGGGAGGCGACACGTGTCAGGTGGGTGGGGGGTGACGTGGCTTGGGGCGGGGGGGTGTGACGTGGCAAGTGGGGCGGGTTGTGGTAATTGTGGGGGGGGCCAGGAGGGTGTGACGTGGCAAGTTTACAAAGTGTTGCTAATCACGATCCTGTGGTCACGCGGCCACAATCATAACTGCTGGTTTCTCTCTCCCATGTCGTGTTGTATACCCTACACCCTTGCGCAGAACAAAGCCTACTTAGTGTGTTTACAGCTCATATTCTGAACCCGCCGGAAAAAATACAGTACTACCCTTCACCGGAGGAAGTGTTCGATGCGTTCTCTGTCCACTTGTCCGCAGAAGGGCTTGAGTCAATGAAGCTGATGTGGTTGCACAATGACAAGTCAACCATGGGAGTCTTCAACCACCAGATATCGTCAACAAGGTCAACTATCAACTCCACCCTCAAGCCAGCAGCATACACCGGCATAGGCCTTGCCGATTTCAACCATCTCGTGGATAGCCTGCCCACTAAGCTACACCCAACGAGGTGGTTTGACGACGAGCAACTCCTAGCCGAGTACAGAGATGGTATGTGCAACTCGAAAACACCATATGCCCCACCATATGCCAGTTAGCAGTTACATATCACCGTGCGATGTGGTTCACCCTGACTCTCATCCACCCACTTGATTTCTCTACACCCCCTTTCCAACCCATACCCTCCCTGCCAAAATGCAGAACACTGGGCCCTCAACTGTCACTTTGACAAGACCACCGAGACGTCCTTCAGCAACCCCTTGTTCGCTTATGCGTTCAAGCTCTTCTTCAAGAGGGGCGAGGTCGTGTTCACCAAGTTCAAGAGCCGCATGGTGGCATGGGGCCTGTTTCCGGTAAAGATGTAGATATGTGTTTGTACCCGCATGCCTCATCCCCTTAACCCCTTGCCTGTTCTTCAGCTAAATACTTGGTCAATCCAAGCCTTTGCAGTTACGTAGATAGTAACGACTGGATCACCGCTTTCAGTTGGCTCCTTTACCCGTAACCCCCCCTCATAAACCATCCACCCAACCCTACACCACATTGCAGATTGAATGGCCCCTTCCGTAGGATAAGCGTTGCAAGCGAATTAGTAGCCAGCCGGAACAAAACAGGCCAGACTACTTGGAGTGGTGCGAAAATGTCAAACAGATGATCCACTTTGCTGTCGTGGAGCGGAGAACCCCCCACGATCCGGCTATGGGTGTGTTCGTCTTCCCGAACAAGTTCCTCATCAACGATGACGACCTTTGAGAGGTCGTCCTTGTCCACCGGGCGCTTGCAATGCTCGGCAGTGCGTAGGCTATTTGACCTGGTGCTTAGACTGTTTGTTGCTAGAATGCTGAATAATGGTTGTTGTAACCTAGAATTAATAAATTTAATTTTGAAATCCTCAATATCCAAAATGAACAAAAGCATTGAGTATTTTTGAATAATCTGGTCACGAATTTGCACCAAAACGGATTGCACTCGAATGTCATCCGGAAAAGCTGGCGTGCCAAATTGAAACTTGACTCGAGCCAAACCTTGTCGCGAGATGTGTCTCGGAGCTCCTATGAAATGACTGTAACCGTCAGTCCAAATTGGCTCCAGATTCTTTTACGCGAAGACAATCGAAATCGAAATTCGTCCAAACCTGGCACAGGGTTTTTGTGATGAACATTGGGGCAACCGATTAATGTATGGGCTCAATCGAGCTTGATCGCCTCGATCAGAGGCGATCAACAACTTCCAGGAAGCCATGAAGCCAATTTCACGCAATCGGGGGCAATCAGCTAATCACGATCAACTGATTGCCCCAACTCGATCAGAGCCGATTTTCACACGAATCAAATACGATTCGGCTCAATCACCCTCGATCACTTGATTGCATGTGATCGGGGACCGTAGCGATGATTGCGAAATGTTACACTGTTGTGCTGGTTCTGGTAAACACTTCGCCCATACATGTGTGGAGTGGGGTTTACGTTATTATAGGGAAACAAAGATTTTCGCCAGGTAACGTCTGGTCGCCACTCTCGCTAGATTTGGGACAAAAATGTCAGGTAATAGTATCGCGTCTGCTCTACAAGCGTTGGGAATCTTCTCCGAAACACATCTCTGATCGGGCGGCTCGGGCAATGCGATAACAAGCAACCCGATCATATCCGACCCGATCAGATGAGAGCCAACCAAACTAGATTGGGCCCACGTCTAGTCCAGGTTTGGTTTGTTGGTCCTTGTTTGATCATCCCCTGCTACCAAATGGTCCAGACTTGTTATTTCCTCTTCAAAAGCAGACTTGCGAAAGATTCGCCATTGGGTGGCAGTCAAGCATGTTACGAAACCTGTCAGTTGGAATTAGGCGGATCACGAACGAATTTGACGAACTGTCTCATCACGGTTACACGACCACGACGAAACGAAAGTCGGAGTCGTTAAGCCCCAGGATTAGGGCGCGTAACCATTTTTCATTTTACGATTTTGACGGACAGTCCGCTTAAAACGAAGTGGAGGGTCCACTTATCGAGAACGGGACCGTCCGACTGTTTTTTTTTGCAACTTCGGACTTTCCGAAGACAGTTGTGACACTTTTTTCCTAATGTACAGTTTCGCGATCACTGTACAAGCGTTACGCAACTCACTCAATCTCAAAAATGTCGTTATCGAATCATTTTTGTTTATAGGTTGTCTCTGGTTGGTCAATGTCGATTCGTGAAGTAGCCTCGTACGTTTTTGTTGGTGGACGAGGTGACTCGACAATTTTTGCGTCGTCCTCCAATCGTATGCAAGGACTGTCGGACAGTCCGTTTGGGATTCGGACTGTCCGCAGTTCAGATTTCGGACCGTTGAAAGTGGGGAAAAAGTGTCACCACAGTCCGTTTTGCTGGCGACGTCGCCAACACATTTGCGAACACAATAACGACATTGTGCGAAGTTTGTCACCGTCTCGCCACCCGGACGGTCCACGGTTCGAACCGTCGGGTGCAAAATGGTTACGCGCCCTTACCCCGACCAACCAAGCTTGTCCCTTCGCTGAAGTCATCGTCTGGTTGAGCTTCACTGCAGCAGTCTATCTCCCACTCGACGTTTGGATCTACTCGTGGCATTCCTGAAGCTCCACACATGCGAGTGCCTCACAATATCAGGCTATGATAGCCTGCCTCGCGTGTGACATTCAAATTCGGATTTATCCAGCCGCAGAGGGCCCGTTGCATTGAAGCACGACGGCGGTGACGGGCATAGCGGTAGGGATAGTTGTAACCTTTAGTAGCGGTCAATAACGGTCGGGGTGCGGTTGTAGCGGTTTATAGCGGTCAATAACAGTCGCGACGGTGGTGCGCGCAACGGTGGCGATGGAGGAGATGGTGCTGCCGTCGATCCGCGTGGGGCACTCGGGTGGCGGCGCGTTTGAGAGCCTCGCGAGCGACGCGGTCGAGGAGAAGAAAAAGCTCACGCTGGGCGTGTGCGTTATGGAGAAGAAGGTAGGCGGACGGGGGAGAGTGGGGGCGTAGGATGCAGAGATCCGTGATGGAGAAGAAGGTAGGCAGACGGATCAGCCGTCACTACACGTTCCATCACCCTTCCATGGCTTGGGTCGCAGGTCGACCTGGCTTCCGGCTCGTGCGCCCTTTATTGCCCCCCTCCCCTCAGCCGTTCCCCTTCCATCATCCAATTCCCCCCATCCCCTTCCGCCCCGCTTCCACCATCCCCGTCTGGCCACCCCCATTGTACCACGCCCCTTGCAGTCCCGGTCATTCCCCATGAGCCCCCTACTCGACCTGCCAACTCCAGCCCCCGTTTCCCCGCCCTTCCTTCATCCACTCCACCCCCCCCCCCTTCCGCCATCCCCCCTGCAGTCGCGTTCGTCCCCCTGACGGCCATTCTTGACCCCCTGGGGTCGTTAATTGCTAATCGCTGTGCCACCTCCTGTCCTCGCTACCCCCCCCCATCCCTTGCGCCACCCCCCCTGCAGTCGCGCTCGTCCCCCATGACGGCCATTCTTGACCGCCTGCGCATGTTCGGCGAGGTGGAGGTGAGGCCTGGGGGAGGTGAGATCTGCGGGAGGTGAGGCGAGGTGGAGGTGAGACTTGGGGGAGGTGAGATCTGCTGGAGGTGAGGCGAGGTGGAGGTGAGACCTGGGGAAGGTAAGGCGAGGTGGAGGTGAGACCTGGGGGAGGTGAGGCGAGGTGGAGGTGAGATCTGTGGGAGGTGAGACATGGGAGGGGGAGGTAGGGGGGAGAAACGTGGAGGAGAGGGGATGTTAAGCTTGAGTTTTATTCTTCTCCTCACAGCACGCCACCCTGCTTGCATTCAGACTCCATCCATTCCTTCTTCTCCTCATGCTCATGCCGCTTCTGCCATGCCTTGCTTGCCGAATCATGCGCTCCCATGTGCGTTGGCACCAGGTGATTATATTCGAAGACCGCATGATCCTCCACGACCCCATCGAGAAGTGAGCCATGCCTCCTCACCGCACTGCATGCCTCCTCGCCTCACTGCATGCGTCCTCGCTTCACTCTATCCCTTCTCGCGTCACTATATGTCCCCCCCATGCCTCCCCCCATGCCTCGCCCCATGCTCCCCCCTATGCCTCCCTCCAACCATGCCTCCCCCCATGCCTCCAACCATGCCTCTCCCCATGCATCCCCCCATGTCTCCCTCCCCCCATGCCGTCCCCCATGCCCCCCCCATGCCTCCCCCCATGCGTCCCCCATCTCCCCCCCATGCCCCCCCAATGCAAAGCCAGGTGGCCCATATGCGATGCGCTAATCGCCTTCTACTCCACGGGCTTCCCTCTCGCCAAGGCGCAGCAATACGCCGCCCTGCGCAAGTATGTGCCTGCTGTGCACTGCCCACTGCGCACTGCCCAGTGCTAGTACGTGCCCTCCGGAGAAAGTACATGTGTGTGTTGCCATGTGCAGCTGTGCGCACGTGGCAGCAGCATGAGCACAGCCCGTCTAGCAAACGATTCTCTTTGATGAGTGTTCTGGCAATGGGGATATTGTGCTTTCTTCCCATTGCAGTCTATTGTGACTCCCTCCAACTCGCATTTTTTCCATTGCTCCTTTGTCTCTCTCCTACTCTCCCACTCTCCCTCTCTCCCATCTATCCCATCCCTCCCTTCCCTCCCATCTCTCCCCGCCCTTCTCGCGCTGCTCCTGCACGGCAGGCCTTATCTGGTGAACGAGTTGGAGCCGCAGTGGCTGCTGCATGACAGGAGGAAGGTGTACGCGGTGAGTGCGAGTGCACAAGAGTGCGTGCGAGTGTACGGTGCTGTTTCCGGTCCTCTGCTAGTACCATGGTCCGAGGCAGCAGAAGCTTGTGGACTCTTCCCCCCTCCACGGCCAACTCATGATGCCCCGAACCCTTTTCCCCATCCCGCCGTTTGCTCACCCCCCCGCTCGGCCTTCTTCGCCCCAACCAACCATTTACACCCCCCCTTTACCAGAAGCTGGAGGAGCACGGGCTGATGATGCCCACGTACGCCATAGTGAACAACCGTGGGGGGGAGGGAGAAGAAGGTCCGGACTGCCCCCTCTCTGCCCACTCGCCCCACTCCCTCCCCCACCCCGTCCCCCCCAACCCCCCCTCCCCTTTACCAGAAGCTGGAGGAGCATGGGCTCATGATGCCCACGTACGCCATAGTGAACCGCGAGGGCGAGGGGGAGGGAGCGGAGGAGGAGTTTGAGGAGGAGGAGGACTACGTGGTCATCGCGGGCAAGCGCATCAACAAGCCCTTTGTGGAGAAGCCCGTTGATGGTGGGCGCATGGGCGCTCGCTGTGGGGGGTTCATGGGCCTGTGAATGCTGCTTCTCCCCAGGGATCGTTTCCCCTCCCTGGAACAGCTGGTTTAGTAATCGAGCCATCTCATACGCGTGAGGTAGCCAGCTCATCTGTCTTTCCCCCCCCCATCCTCAACTCCTCCCCGCCACACCCCTCTTTCCCTGCTCTCCCATCCTTGATTCTCCACACCCCCTCCCCTCTTCCCATGCACTCCATGCGTGCGCGGGCGCACCACCAGGCGACGACCACAGTGTGATGATTTACTACCCCAGCTCCGCAGGGGGCGGCATGAAAGAGCTCTTCAGGAAGGTACCGCCTCGCCTCGTGCAATGCATTGCATGGGCGGGAAAGCAAGCAGCACTGCACTTGTTGCTGCTCTGCTCTTATACTTATTCTTAGAATTCTCAAAAACCGTGCCTCTATCTACCTGTGCCTCATTGCACTCGGTTTTGTAATTTCTGTCTTTTCCATTCCTTGGGCCTGGCCTCATCTCCCAGTACCACCACCTCTCTCTCCGCTCTGCCATCTCTCGCCTCTCCTGGAAGGTGGGCAACCGCTCCAGTGAGTTCCACCCGGATGTGCGCCATGTGAGGCGCCACGGCTCCTACATCCCACTCGCCTCACCTGACCTCGCATTCGCACCACCCTGATTTTCTCCCATCTCTCTCACCCCTTTTGGAAGGTGGGCAACCGCTCCAGTGAGTTCCACCCGGACGTGCGCCATGTGAGGCGCCACGGCTCCTACATCTATGAGGAGTTCCTCCCCACAGGCAAGCTCTCAGCGCTAGCATTAGATCTACCACTAGGAGCTTGCTGCTGCCGATCGAATCCATCCGTCCATTTCCTAGCTGCGCCATGTGAGGCACCATGGCTTTTACATCCTTGAGGAATTCCTTCCCACAGGTGCGCTCTTTGCCGCCCACAACTTTGTCATTTTCTGCCCTCACTTACGGCGTGATGATGCATGGTTGTTACCGACAGAATAGTGAAGCTCCAGGTTAGAGAACTATGCAGTACGTAGTAAACACCAGTAGCATGCAATAAACTGCAATGCATGTCGGCAAACAGTCACTGTCTCCCCCCCTGCTCTTCATCTTCGTTCGTTCTTGCATCTTGCATGTTGAAATACACCGTGGTCCGTGCGTTCCTTGCTCAGTACTCTTTGTTTCCATGGCCATGTGTGCAATCACAATGTGCATGTGCAATCACAATGTGCATGTGCAATCACAATGTGCATGTGCAATCACAATGTGCATGTGCAATCACAATGTGCATGTGCAATCACAATGTGCATGTGCATTTGCGTGTGCGTGAGCGTGCGCATGCCACCATGATGTTTGGTTGGCTGGCATCACCATGATGCGATGGGCAGGGGGCACGGATGTGAAGGTGTACACGGTGGGGCCGGACTATGCTCATGCAGAGGCGCGCAAGTCGCTGGTGAATCTTGACTCAACTCAAAAGCATTGCTCAAATCTTTCCATTCTTCCATGATCATGTGTGCAATTCATGATGCATCTGCCAGGGGGCACGGACGTGAAGGTGTACACGGTGGGGCCGGACTATGCGCATGCAGAGGCACGCAAGTCACCCGTGGTGGACGGCGTCGTCATGCGCAGCGCCGACGGCAAGGAGGTGCGCCCTAGAAGGGAGGGGGGGGGAAGAGGTTGGCTGGGGCTGGCTGTGTATGTAGCTCTTCCCATGGATGGCCTGTTTGGTTACTGTGAGCCAGCTCATCTCACGTTCCCATTCACTTGTGCAGAAGGGCAAGGAGGTGAGGCCATTCTTCCTTCAAGGAAATTTCGTACTGATGGTCACTTGGTTCGGATAGATTCACCCAATAGGCTGCACACGGCTGGCAGAGAGGCAACAGTCAGCAGACAGACAGGGTTCAGCACATCCGTCAGATATAGCGTTCAGCACATCCGTCAGATATAGTGTTCAGCAGTCAGAATGGAACATCCTGCCGTCAGCATTCAAACACTTTCTTTAAGATGTTACTCTGATCGTAGCTGGAGGCACTGGGACGACTCACTCAAAGCACCACACTGGTCTCTCCTGTTCCGCGCATTTGATATCTAACACCGCTTCTCTCCTGACCCTGTATCTTGCGCCGCGCTCAAGCATATTCGCATCTTGCTTGCTTGGGCCATGCATGCACAACTCTCTATCCCTGCCATCCACCGCTCTCTCATCACTCTTCGCGACCAAGAATAGCTCGCCCCTCTCCCCCCTGCATCTCTGCCAGATCCGCTACCCGGTGCTGCTCACCCCAACGGAGAAGGAGATGGCACGAGTCATCTGTCTTGCCTTCGGCCAGGCTGTGAGTCATCTGTCTTGCCTTCGGCCAGGCTGTGAGTCATCTGTCTTGCCTTCAGCCAGGCTGTGAGTCATCTGTCTTGCCTTCGGCCAGGCTGTGAGTCATCTGTCTTGCCTTCGGCCAGGCTGTGAGTCATCTGCCTTGCCTTCGGCCAGGCTGTGAGTCATCTGTCTTGCCTTCGGCCAGGCTGTGAGTCATGTAGCTCGCAGTGTGATCTGTTTGCCATCCCACCTCTTGTTCCGTGACAGCATCATTTACCATACACTCTTTCTTCGCCCATTATGGGTGCGCCTCTCTGTTCCCACCCCAGAGTCCTTGGCGCTCACTGTTGCCTCTTCCCTTCCCTCACCCGCATGTCTCGCGCACCTTTTGCCCGCCAGGTGTGTGGCTTTGACCTGCTGCGATCGCACGGCCGCTCCTTCGTGTGCGATGTCAACGGCTGGAGCTTTGTCAAGAACTCCACCAAGTGAGGTCCTTTCCGCTGGGCTGGTTGGTGGGTGGGTTGGTTGTTGTATCAGCTGGATGTGAGTTTTGAGTCAGACTGAAAAAAGTCACCTCAGTTGTGTGAGATGTGAAGGGTTATAGCTTTGTTAAGAACTCCACCAAGTGACCACTGAGCTCTCTCTGTGCCAATGGCGGTATCAGATCAGGCTACTATCTAGAGAGTTGAAACAGCAACCAACCACAGTTTCACAGCTCGATTTCTGGAAAAGGAGAAGCAACCATCGATCGAGGCATTTTCATCATGACTCGTAATTTGTTGAATTTTCAACCACTTCTTTTGCGCCCTGTCATTAAGCCAGTCACCGCACTCTCGGCGTCCTCTCTGTGAAATCTGCCTACCATCCCTCGGGCCTCGCCCCCTGCCTGCGTGCCGTGCACTGCAGGTACTACGGCGATGCAGCATGTGTGCTGCGCAGCATGCTGCTGTTGCTTCGTTCATCCCTCCTCTGTGAAATTAAGCCAACCAGTCGTGCCCCTCTTCCCCCACTTCCCTCTCAACCCCCGATGCCTGCATGCAGGTACTACGACGATGCAGCGTGTGTGTTACGAAGCATGCTGCTGCGCGCCGTGGCTCCGCACCTCTACTCGCCTCTCCCCGTGCGCCTGCCGTGGTCCTCCGGACCCGACGCAGCAGCAGCGGACGGCACGACATCGCCGGATTACGAGCGCACGCTCACCAGCGTGAGCAGCTTCAACAGCGTTCACACGTTCGGCACGCGGGAGGAGCTGCGCTGCGTCATTGCCGTCATCCGCCAGTGAGTGGGGCCAGTGGGTGCTGCTGGGATGGTTTTTGCTGGTGAGTCCGGTGGAGTGATACTTTGTGCATCGTTGCAGAATGTTTGAGGTTTGGTGGGAAGGAGGACTTGACAAAGAACGAGTCTTGACACATTCTCCTTGTCCTCCCCGCGCTCCCTCCCTTGTCGGCCCTCCCCCATGGGCAGTGGTGACCGCACGCCAAAGCAGAAGGTGAAGCTGGTGGTGACGCAGGAGCGGCTGCTGAAGCTCATGCTCAAATACAACGGCGGCAAGCCCCGCTCTGAGGTACTGCGGTGGCCAGGCAGGCGTGTGAGATATTAGGAGGGCAGGCAGGCCGGTGAGCGCTGTGGGAGGTGTGAAGGAAAGTGGTGGTGTCTCGCAGCTTGGCACTGCCCTTGCCATGCCATTCCTTTGACTCATTCAGCTAGGGGGTGAGTGAAGTGAGCCTAAGGACGACACACGGTCACGTGGGCACTTGGGCACATGGGCGCATGGGTGCGTGCACAAACCACGCAATTCAAAGCCAATGAGTGCAGTCCCTGGTGGAGACCTGCTTGCTGCACTCCCTTGCTCTGCCCTCTGTGCCATCCGCTTCTTCCCTCTGCCCAGCAAGTCTGAAAGTCTGCTCTTTCTTCTCAACAACTTGTTTCCCCTCCCTTCCCTCTGTATGCTCGGCCCCTCCCTTCCCTCTGTATGCTCGGCCCCTCCCTTCCCTCTGTATGCTCGGCCCCTCCCTTCCCTCTGTATGCTCGGCCCCTCCCTTCCCTCTGTATGCTCGGCCCCTCCCTTCCCTCTGTATGCTCGGCCCCTCCCCGCCCCCCCCACTGCCCTCCTCCCCTGCCCGCCAGGCGAAGCTGAAGAGTGCCGTGCAGCTGCAGGACCTGCTGGACGCCCTGCGCGCACTTGTGCCACATCAGAGGTGGGTGGGAGGGCTACTTGCTCTTACCTGTTACCCCTTGCTGGTTAGCCGTTAGAAAGGTGGGCGTTGCATCAGAGGTGGGTGGTTGCTCTCGTCATCTGGCAGGAAATTGGGTTTTGCACTTGGATCAGCATTGAGGGTTTGTTTACAACCTGCGTACAAGGTCCTCTTCACTCCAATGTTCCAGCACCACCGATCCATGCAACCTACTCACTCCTCCTCTCACTGCGCTGCACATGCTGCTGTTTGCCCTCTTCTCCTTGCCCAAACATTGCTGCGGTAGCAGGGACGGCAGTGACAGCGAGACAGAGGACTTTGAGAATGCGGAGAAGCTGAGGCACGTGAAGGCCGTGCTGGAGGAGGTGAGGCCGTGCTGGAGGAGGTGAGGATGCTGCTGCGCGCTTTCAGTGTTGGCCCTGAGCTTGCTCATGAGTATCATTGTGTCAACACAGGAGTGGAGGAAGCGAGGCAATGCATGCTGCTGGATTTATATTCAAAGAAACACCCTCGTGTGCATACGCTCTGACCCCCCCCTCCCCCTCCTCCTCCTCCTCCTCCTCCTCCTCCTCCTCCTCCTCCTCCTCCTCCTCCTCCTCCTCTTCCTCCTCCTCCTCCTCCTCCTCCTCCACTTGCTGCTCCTATGCCATCCCCCCCACGCACAGGGAGGGCACTTCTCGGGCATATACCGCAAGGCGCAGCTGAAGCCGCAGAAGTGGGAGCGTGTGCAGCGGAGGGACAGCAGTGGGGGCGAGGTGGAGGTGGACGAGCCCACGGAGGCCCTCATGGTGCTCAAATACGGCGGCGTGCTCACCCACGCTGGCAGGGCACAGGTGGGATCCTCACCCACGGCTGTGCCAGTTTTCAGCAGGTGTGGTGCCCGCACACGCTCATACCGGTGAATAACAGGCAGCAGGTGGGGGTAAGGCAGGCAGCAGGTGGGGGTAAGGCAGGCAGCAGGTGGGGGTAAGGCAGGCAGCAGGTGAATGAATCTGTGTCGCTGTTAAGAGGTCTGAACAGCAGTGGCGGCGAGGTGGAGGTGGACGAACCCACGGAGGCCCTCATGGTGCTCAAGTACGGCGGCGTGCTCACGCATGCTGGCAGACAGCAGGTGAAGTAGTCGCTGATGCTGGTGAACAGGGTAGGTGCGGTGGCATGGCAGGCAGCAGGTGGGGAGGCAGGCAGCAGGTGGGGAGGCAGGCAGCAGGTGAATGAGTCCGTGTTGAGTCCCCTGTGAGGCACACAGCTGAAGCGCGTCCCTGTGAGGCACACAGCTGAAGCGTGTCCCTGTGAGGCACACAGCTGAAGCGCGTCCCTGTGAGGCACACAGCTGAAGCGCGTCCCTGTGAGGCACACAGCTGAAGCGCGTCCCTGTGAGGCACACAGCTGAAGCGCGTCCCTGTGAGGCACACAGCTGAAGCGCGTCCCTGAAGCGCTTCCCTGTGAGGCACACAGCTGAAGCGCGTCCCTGTGAGGCACACAGCTGAAGCGCGTCCCTGTGAGGCACACAGCTGAAGCGCGTCCCTGTGAGGCACACAGCTGAAGCGCGTCCCTGTGAGGCACACAGCTGAAGCGCGTCCCTGTGAGGCACACAGCTGAAGCGCGTCCCTGTGAGGCACACAGCTGAAGCGCGTCCCTGTGAGGCACACAGCTGAAGCGCGTCCCTGTGAGGCACACAGCTGAAGCGCGTCCCTGTGAGGCACACAGCTGAAGCGCGTCCATTCTCTCACCCTCACTCTGACTGCTCTTTTCTTTTGCGAAACAACCAACTAACTGTGTAACCTTCTTCCTGTTCCCTCTTCTTCCGTCCTCCTCAACACCCCCCTTCCCCTCCCCTCACCTCCCCTCCCCCTTCCTTCCTTACTGCCACTCATCAGGCGGAGCATCTGGGTCGAGCATTTCGAGAAGCCATGTATCCTGGTAAGGGCATGCATGTTGCTACGGCCAGGCAACATGCTATGGGCGTAAGTTCGTGCTTGCTGGATCATGTAGTGCATACATGCAAACTTGACTAATGCATGGACGTGCAACTGCTTGACGGTTGGCCTGGCCTCACACGTCTTTGGCTTTATGATGTGTGTAACGTGGTGAACCATGCAGCACTTCCAAGAGCACATGGCATGCACGCATGGCATGCACGCACCCTAAGCTCTTCTAATGGTCACCCTTAGAAGAGCTTAGGGGGGGGGGTGATGGAAAGTGGGAGAATGGGGCAGGGTGATGGAAGGAAGGAGAATGGGGCGGGGTGATGGAAGGAGGGAGAATGGGGCGGGGTGATGGAAGGAGGGAGAATGGGGCGGGGTGATGGAAGGAGGGAGAATGGGGCGGGGAGATGGAAGGAGGGAGAATGGGGCGGGGTGATGGAAGGAGGGAGAATGGGGCGGGGTGATGGAAGGAGGGAGAATGGGGCGGGGTGATGGAAGGAGGGAGAATGGGGCGGGGTGATGGAAGGAGGGAGAATGGGGCGGGGTGATGGAAGGAGGGAGAATGGGGCGGGGTGATGGAAGGAGGGAGAATGGGGCGGGGTGATGGAAAGAGGGAGAATGGGGCGGGGTGATGGAAGGAGGGAGAATGGGGCGGGGTGATGGAAGGAGGGAGAATGGGGCGGGGTGATGGAAGGAGGGAGAATGGGGCGGGGTGATGGAAGGAGGGAGAATGGGGCGGGGTGATGGAAGGAGGGAGAATGGGGCGGGGTGATGGAAGGAGGGAGAATGGGGCGGGGTGATGGAAGGAGGGAGAATGGGGCGGGGTGATGGAAGGAGGGAGAATGGGGCGGGGTGATGGAAGGAGGGAGAATGGGGCGGGGTGATGGAAGGAGGGAGAATGGGGCGGGGTGATGGAAGGAGGGAGAATGGGGCGGGGTGATGGAAGGAGGGAGAATGGGGCGGGGTGATGGAAGGAGGGAGAATGGGGCGGGGTGATGGAAGGAGGGAGAATGGGGCGGGGTGATGGAAGGAGGGAGAATGGGGCGGGGTGATGGAAGGAGGGAGAATGGGGCGGGGTGATGGAAGGAGGGAGAATGGGGCGGGGTGATGGAAGGAGGGAGAATGGGGCGGGGTGATGGAAGGAGGGAGAATGGGGCGGGGTGATGGAAGGAGGGAGAATGGGGCGCCTCTTGCCCTCCTCCCTGCCTTTCCTTCCCCCCTCCCCAGTCCCCCCTCCCACCTCCCCCCTCCCCCCTCTTTCACATCGCCCTCTCCTCTGCCTTTCCCGCTCACTTCCCCTTGCACCCTTCCTCTCTCCTCGCCCCTTGTGAATCTTGGCAGACGAAATGGGGTCGAATGGAACAGGGCTGCTGCGGCTGCACAGCACGTACCGCCACGATCTCAAGATCTACAGCTCCGATGAGGGCCGCGTGCAGGTGGGGCGCTCAGTGCAGGTGGGCGCTCAGTGCAGGTGGGCGCTCAGTGCAGGTGGGCGCTCAGTGCAGGTGGGCGCTCAGTGCAGGTGGGCGCTCAGTGCAGGTGGGCGCTCAGTGCAGGTGGGCGCTCAGTGCAGGTGGGGCGCTCAGTGCAGGTGGGCGCTCAGTGCAGGTGGGCGCTCAGTGCAGGTGGGGCGCTCAGTGTAGGTGGGCGCTCAGTGCAGGTGGGCGCTCAGTGCAGGTGGGCGCTCAGTGCAGGTGGGCGCTCAGTGCAGGTGGGCGCTCAGTGCAGGTGGGCGCTCAGTGCAGGTGGGCGCTCAGTGCAGGTGGGCGCTCAGTGCAGGTGGGCGCTCAGTGCAGGTGGGCGCTCAGTGCAGGTGGGCGCTCAGTGCAGGTGGGCGCTCAGTGCAGGTGGGCGCTCAGTGCAGGTGGGCGCTCAGTGCAGGTGGGCGCTCAGTGCAGGTGGGCGCTCAGTGCAGGTGGGCGCTCAGTGCAGGTGGGCGCTCAGTGCAGGTGGGCGCTCAGTGCAGGTGGGCGCTCAGTGCAGGTGGGCGCTCAGTGCAGGTGGGCGCTCAGTGCAGGTGGGCGCTCAGTGCAGGTGGGCGCTCAGTGCAGGTGGGCGCTCAGTGCAGGTGGGCGCTCAGTGCAGGTGGGCGCTCAGTGCAGGTGGGCGCTCAGTGCAGGTGGGCGCTCAGTGCAGGTGGGCGCTCAGTGCAGGTGGGCGCTCAGTGCAGGTGGGCGCTCAGTGCAGGTGGGCGCTCAGTGCAGGTGGGCGCTCAGTGCAGGTGGGCGCTCAGTGCAGGTGGGCGCTCAGTGCAGGTGGGCGCTCAGTGCAGGTGGGCGCTCAGTGCAGGTGGGCGCTCAGTGCAGGTGGGCGCTCAGTGCAGGTGGGCGCTCAGTGCAGGTGGGCGCTCAGTGCAGGTGGGCGCTCAGTGCAGGTGGGCGCTCAGTGCAGGTGGGCGCTCAGTGCAGGTGGGCGCTCAGTGCAGGTGGGCGCTCAGTGCAGGTGGGCGCTCAGTGCAGGTGGGCGCTCAGTGCAGGTGGGCGCTCAGTGCAGGTGGGCGCTCAGTGCAGGTGGGCGCTCAGTGCAGGTGGGCGCTCAGTGCAGGTGGGCGCTCAGTGCAGGTGGGCGCTCAGTGCAGGTGGGCGCTCAGTGCAGGTGGGCGCTCAGTGCAGGTGGGCGCTCAGTGCAGGTGGGCGCTCAGTGCAGGTGGGCGCTCAGTGCAGGTGGGGCGCTCAGTGCAGGTGGGCGCTCAGTGCAGGTGGGCGCTCAGTGCAGGTGGGCGCACTCATCAGGCTCGCCAGCACTCATCAGGCTCGATTAGTGGGGTCAATTGACCGAGGCAACCAGGTGGGGTCAGTTGACCGAGGCAACCAGGTGGGGTCAATTGACCGAGGCAACCAGGTGGGGTCAATTGACCGAGGCAACCAGGTGGGGTCAATTGACCGAGGCAACCAGGTGGGGTCAATTGACCGAGGCAACCAGGTGGGGTCAATTGACCGAGGCAACCAGGTGGGGTCAGTTGACCGAGGCAACCAGGTGGGGTCAATTGACCGAGGCAACCAGGTGGGGTCAATTGACCGAGGCAACCAGGTGGGGTCAATTGACCGAGGCAACCAGGTGGGGTCAATTGACCGAGGCAACCAGGTGGGGTCAATTGACCGAGGCAACCAGGTGGGGTCAATTGACCGAGGCAACCAGGTGGGGTGGGGGCGTTGGCAACCTCGAAACTAACAGAGGGCCCGTTCAAATAAGCAGCTAGTAAAACGGTTCGTGCCCCTTGTGTGTGCATGCCTCCTGCCTTGCCTTTCTGTACAGATGTCAGCAGCAGCGTTCACCAAGGGGCTGCTGGACCTGGAGGGGCAGCTACTAGAACTGTTGGTGCCACCTCTCTCGCATTTTCCGCCTCATGCGTTCCTCCCTGCCTCCCTGCCTGCGTGTGCAGATGTCAGCAGCAGCGTTCATCAAAGGTCTGTTGGACCTGGAGGGGCAGCTCACGCCTATCCTGGTGGGCACCACTCCCCCTCCATTGCACGCCTGCACTTTCGCACTCTCTATTTACACTCTCCATTCCACAACCTTCACTTACCACAACTTCGTCTCCTCTCTAGTTTCCGCACGGTGCTTCTCTCTGCACTGTTGCATTGCAACTTTATCCATGGGCCATTGCATGTGTGCGCACACATCTATGTGTGCATGTATGCATCCACGTGCGTGTGCTCATGTGTGACCATGCAGGTTAGTCTGGTGAGCAAGGACTCGCCCATGCTTGACGGGCTCGACTCCGCCTCCATTGAAATGGAGCATGCCAAGGTGAGAGTCCATTGAGTCGCTACACTCATGCATTCGATTGATGTTTCAGAATCCTTTCCGCTGCGCTACTCTAAGCTAGTCTCATTAACGACATCACCTAAGCTCTATCAGTCCGTTATGCTCCTATCATCTTCCCAGCCACCTCGTCCTCTCATGTTTCGTCAGTGTTTCCGAGTATCTGCCTGTGTTTTCGTCTCTTCTCCCAATCCTTTCTCCCTCCCCCCCTCACCACAGCTCAAGATAGACCACCAACCACCCATGGGCCCCCATCCACTTGCTATCACCTAGAAGCAAGCAGCCTTGCATGAGCCTGCACAGACCTAACCTACTCTCTCTTTTATCTTTCATCCCTTCCAACCAACTCCTGTCCACGCTCTTTTCCCTTCTCCCCCCCACAGCGCAAGCTGGGCGAGATGATGACGACCAGCGACCCGCCCATGATCTCACCTAGAACCACCCATGCATGCGACTCGCAGAGCCCTCATTCCACTCCTTACCCCCCCGCTCCTTCCCTCCCTCTTCCCCTTCCCCCCCACAGCGCAAGCTGGGTGAGATGATGACGACCAACGACCCGCCTGTGCTCTCGCCCACGCACGGCCAGCCCCCCGCGGCTCTCAGCCCGCGCCGGCCCTCTCAGTCGCGCTCGCACTCGCGCAGCAGCAGCAGCAGCAGCCACGGCGGGTCGTCAGCGCAGCTGGCTGGCCCGTGGATGACAGACGCGCCCTGGCTTCCTGACCGCCCCCTCAGCAAGCTGCACAAGCTGGTGGGTGTGTGTGGGTTGGAGGGAGGAAGAGGGGTGGGGGGTTGGGTGCGTGTGTGCGTGTGTGCATGTGCCCTTGTGTGTGTGTGGGTCGCACCCGCTTGTGTGTGGATGATGACTGATGCGCCCTGGCTGCCTTAGCAGCCTCTCGGCAAGCTGCACAAGCTGGTGCATGTGTTGTGTGAGGGGGTGGCGGGAGAAGCTGGTGCTGGGTGTTGGTGAGTGGGGATGGAGGTGGGGGTTGGGTTGGGAATGTGGGTGCGAGTGGTGTGGGAGTGCGTGATGTTGGGAGGGGGAGGGGTGGGGGGATGTGTGTGCGTGCATGCGTCTCTGCTGCCCACTCTCGCTCGATGCTGTCATGTTTCACTTGTCCCACTCTTTGCGCCCACCCCTGCTCCTCCCCTCGCAGGTGGAGCTGATAAAGGCGCTGGCAGCGCACGCCAAGGAGAAGTGCAGAGAGGACGACGTGGACGGCTTTTGAGTCGTCTCAAATAACGCTTTTGCACCCCCTTCCCCCCCTCCTCTCTCCCTCCCCCAGGTGGAGCTGATAAAGGCGCTGGCAGCACACGCCAAGGAGAAGTGCCGAGAGGACGACGTGGACGGCGCACTGGAGGCCAAGGTCGAGGAAGCTGTCAAGAAGCTTCGCATCGTGCCTGTGCCGCCACAGCACAAGGCCGGGGCGGGGGAGCAGCAGCAGAAGGGTGCGGGGGAGCAGCAGGGCGGGGCGCAGCAGCAGGGGGGAGGGAAACAGAAGGCGGTGCCGTATGATGGCACGGTGCTGGGGAAGGCACGGTTTGATGAGAGCCGCATTGCCGCCGGGCTGCCGTGCGGTACGGAGGAGTTTCTGCTCATCTTTGCGCGGTGGAAGAAGCTTGAGCGCGATATTTACAATCCGCGAAAGGAGTGAGTGTGGTGGGGGAGGGGGAGTGTGTGTGGGAGGGATGGATGGGGTGTGTAGGAGGGATGGAGTGTGTAGGAGGGAGTGAGTGTGAGTGGGGTGGAACGAATGTGGGTGGGTTGGGGCAATAGGCATTTTTTTAACGGACCTCTGTGGCAGCTCCGATGAAAAGAGGGTGGGTGGTGAAAGGGGCAACGGAGCGATGGGGACAACTCAGCCCTGCCGTGCTCTGTTCTTCGCTTCTCTTTGCTGTCTCACCAGCGCTCTCTCTCCTCCCCATGCTGTCCCCTTTTCTCCGCCCTCATCCCGCTGTGCCTTCCTCCAGTCGCTTCAACATCAGCAAGATCCCCGACGTCTACGACTCTGCCAAGTGCGTTGCTCCGTGCACCGTGCCTTGTGCACCGTGCCTTGTGCACCGTGCCTTGTGCACCGTGCCTTGTGCACCGTGCCTTGTGCACCGTGCCTTGTGCACCGTGCCTTGTCCACTCACGCCCACGCACACACTCTGCACTCACAGACGCAGATTCACACACACTCACGACTGTACCAAGTGCGTGGCTTTGTGTCTTGTCTTGTCCATACACGGCATGCACACACATGCAAACACACATGTGCGCGCACACACATACAGACACACACACACGCAAACACACACACACATGCACGTGCACACACACACAGACACACACACACACACATTCACGTGCACACACACACACACACACATGCACGCACACACACACACACACACACACACACATTCACGTGCACACACACACACACACACATGCACGCGCACACATGCGTGCGTGCACGCATGTCTCTGCAGACATGCACCCTCCCAGCACATGCAAAGCATTGTCTGCTCTGCATACCTGCTCTGCTCCCCCCCACGTCCCTCACTTGTACCCACACCCCATGTGCGGTGCCCCTGCCCACGTGTCCCTCCCCCAGGTACGACCTGGTGCACAATCGGCATCTGGGCCTCAAGGGGCTGGACGAGCTCTACCTGCTCGCCAAGGCACGCTCCTTGCCCGTCGCATGTTGCATGCCTGAATGTTAAATGTTGCTCATTACTCGTACATTTTGCCTGCTTCCGGTTGCAACTTGCGTATCGCATGTTGCATGCTGCTGTTGCATGCTGCATGTTTCACGTGTTGGCCCATCGCGTATGGTTCCCATGCCATCCATGCGTCGCCATCTTCCTGCCATCCCCGTCATGCCAGTCGCGCTATGTGCATATTCACCTCTCCACTCCGCATGTTGCTTACTTGCTACCAAATTGTTTCTCTGGTTGCTTTCACCAGGAGATGGCGAATGGGGTCATTCCCAATGAGTACGGCATCACGCCGTACAGCAAGCTCAAGATCGGGGCCAAGGTCAGTCCCGCCCGTCCCTTACCCCCCTGTTCCTTGTGCCCATGTGTTTTGCCCGCCGAGGTCTCAGTTCCCTAGTTTGCACGGCGCCTGCTGGGCAAGGCAAGATGCTGATTCATCTGCACAGCACACGGGACAAGGCAGTACATGTGCCTCTCAACTCCATACCTCCTCCCCTCCCCTTCTTTCCCTTTCCCTCCCAGCTTTCCTCCCTGGGCAGGTGGCACAGCGACTGCTGGGAAAGATTCTGATTGATTTACACAACCAGAGCGTGCCTGTGCCTGCAGCACTAAAGTCTCCGTCCCTCCCCTCCCACCCCTCTCTTCCCCAGGTGGCACGGCGGCTGCTGGGAAAGATGCTGATCGATCTGCACAACACGCGGGACGAGGCGGTGGCGGTGGGGCAGGCCATGCAGCAGCACCGGCAGAGCCTGAGGGAGCAGCGAGCCGCAGCGGTGGCGGCAGCGGTGTTCAACCAGGAGCAGCAGCGGCAGAACCGCCGGTCGTCCGGTGAGGCCAAGCGCCGCTCCGATGGGCACTCAGAAGGGGACAATGACGACAGCAACGCTCAGTACCGCTTGGACCCCAAGTGAGTGTGGTGATGATGAAGAGTTGAGGCATTTTAACAATGATGGCAGCAACGCACAGTACTGGCCTGGCCAGATCCAGGCAGTGAATGACATGTGCGTACATTGAATGACATGTGCGTGCGTGCATTAAATGACATGTGTGTGCGTGCATTGAATGACATGTGCATACATTGAATGACATGTGCGTGCGTGCATTGAATGACATGTGCGTGCGTGCATTGAATGACATGTGCGTGCATTGAATGACATGTGCGTGCGTGCATTGAATGACATGTGCGTGCGTGCATTGAATGACATGTGCGTGCGTGCATTGAATGACATGTACGTGCATTGAATGACATGTGCGTGCATTGAATGGCATGTGCGTGCATTGAATGACATGTGTGTGCGTGCATTGAATGACATGTGTGTGCGTGCATTGAATGACATGTGCGTGCGTGCATTGAATGACATGTGCGTGCGTGCATTGAATGACATGTGCGTGCATTGAATGACATGTGCGTGCGTGCATTGAATGACATGTGCGTGCGTGCATTGAATGACATGTGCGTGCGTGCATTGAATGACATGTGCGTGCATTGAATGACATGTGCGTGCATTGAATGGCATGTACGTGCATTGAATGACATGTGCGTGCGTGCATTGAATGACATGTGCGTGCGTGCATTGAATGACATGTGCGTGCATTGAATGACATGTGCGTGCATTGAATGACATGTGTGTGCATTGAATGACATGTGCGTGCGTGCATTGAATGACATGTGCGTGCGTGCATTGAATGACATGTGCGTGCGTGCATTGAATGACATGTGCATGGATTGAATGACATGTGCGTGCATTGAATGGCATGTGCGTGCATTGAATGACATGTGCGTGCGTGCATTGAATGACATGTGCGTGCGTGCATTGAATGACGTGTGCGTGCGTGCATTGAATGACATGTGCGTGCGTGCATTGAATGACATGTGCGTGTGTGCATTGAATGACATGTGTGTGCATTGAGTGACATGTGCGTGCATTGAATGACATATGCGTGCGTGCATTGAATGACATGTGCGTGCGTGCATTGAATGACATGTGCGTGCGTGCATTGAATGACATGTGCGTGCATTGAATGACATGTGCGTGCATTGAATGGCATGTGCGTGCATTGAATGACATGTGCGTGCGTGCATTGAATGACATGTGCGTGTGTGCATTGAATGACATGTGCGTGCGTGCATTGAATGACATGTGCGTGCATTGAATGACATGTGCGTGCATTGAATGGCATGTGCGTGCATTGAATGACATGTGCGTGCGTGCATTGAATGACATGTGCGTGCGTGCATCGAATGACATGTGCGTGCGTGCATTGAATGACATGTGCGTGCATTGAATGACATGTGCGTGCATTGAATGGCATGTGCGTGCATTGAATGACATGTGCGTGCGTGCATTGAATGACATGTGCGTGCGTGCATCGAATGACATGTGCGTGCGTGCATTGAATGACATGTGCGTGCATTGAATGACATGTGCGTGCATTGAATGGCATGTGCGTGCATTGAATGACATGTGCGTGCGTGCATTGAATGACATGTGCGTGCGTGCATTGAATGACATGTGCGTGCGTGCATTGAATGACATGTGCGTTCATTCAATGACATGTGCGTGCATTGAATGACATGTGCGTGCATTGAATGGCATGTGCGTGCATTGAATGACATGTGCGTGCGTGCATTGAATGACATGTGCGTGCGTGCATTGAATGACATGTGCGTGCATTGAATGACATGTGCGTGCATTGAATGACATGTGCGTGCATTGAATGACATGTGCGTGCATTGAATGACATGTGCGTGCATTGAATGACATGTGTGTGCATTGAATGGCATGTGCGTGCATTGAATGACATGTGCATGCATGCATTGAATGACATGTGCGTGCGTGCATTGAATGACATGTGTGTGCATTGAATGACATGTGCGTGCATTGAATGACATGTGCGTGCATTGAATGACATGTGCGTGCATTGAATGGCATGTGCGTGCATTGAATATGTCGGATGAGATTTCGCAATATTGGAACAGCAACGTGAGGTAGTGGTTCGACCCAAGTGATTGCATGAAAGGTTGGCCTAGCTGGTTGTGAATGCGCATGACAACGTGTGACACTAATCAGCGGCCTTGCTGCTGTGTGGCCTTGCCCTTGCCCCGTGGCTGCCTGGCTGCAGGTATGCCAACGTTCGAACGCCCCAGCGCCATGTGCGCACTCGCCTATACTTCACCTCTGTAAGCCCCATACCTCTTCTGAGTTGTGCGTGAGGTGAGTTCTGAGTTGACTCACAGGTCTCCTCTGCTTCACATGTGTACGCCTTGTGAGAATTCTGCCAGTTGGAGTTTGGGACATCTCATATCTGCCACTCACGTCTCATATCTGCCACTCACGTCTCATATCTGCCACTCACTCACCCATTCGTCCATCCGTCAATCACCCTCCACCAACCCACGCTCCCCCTCAGGAGTCGCACCTACACAGTGTGACAGACGTGTTGCGCTTCTGCCAGCAGGGCCTTTGAGTCATGACAGGTTTCTCTACCCACCAATTCCCCCGCGCATACATCAATCCGCTTTTCCTCCCACCCGCCCACCCACCCACCCACCCAACCACCCACTCACACACCCAACCCCACCTTGCAGGAGTCGCACCTACACAGTGTGATGAACGTGCTGCGCTTCTGCCAGCTGGGCCTTTGAGACGGTGACAGGAATCTATCCGCCCTTCCTTCCACCCACCCACCCACCCACCCCCAACAGGAGTCGCACCTACACAGTGTGATGAACGTGCTGCGCTTCTGCCAGCTGGACGACTCACTGCAGGGCGAGGCGTCCCTGCTGAGTCCCGACGCCATGACTCGCCTCTATGAGACGCGCGAGCTCGACTACCTCACTCATGTGGTGCTGCGCATGTACGAGAACGTGGAGGTATGCAACGCTGCACGCCCTTTCACCACTCGTGCATTCCGCCCATGTGTCCCGTTCCCCCCTTCTCACTCACATCTTCCTCATCTGCTCTGCTGCTGGCCGGTCCTTATCCATTCCTCTCGCTCCACCCCTCGCCCCGTCCCCCCTCCATACCAACCACATCACCTGCACCCACCATGACTCATCAGGTGGATCTGAACAACCCGCGGCGATTCCGAGTGGAGATCATGTTCAGCCCGGGGTCAGCTGTGAGCCCTCTCGAGGTGAGACATGCCATCACCATGCCGCTTGGATCGTCTGACACCGCAACGTCTCTCCCCCTACCCTCCTCTGTTGCCTCACCATCTCATGCTCTTCCTCCCCATCCCTTTGCACCCCCACCATCCGTCCTGCATGGGCTCCCAATGTTGGGGAAGATAAGATGATGCCAATACCACACACAACACAGTTCGTTCCACGCCTCTTACTGTTTGCATCCATCCTCCTCCACCGCAGCAGGTGGGTTCATAAAAAAAGGATGACGAGTCCGATGCACCGCAGCACATTTCATCCAACCCCTCTCTCTCCTCTCCGTCATGCTCTCCCCACAACTCCAGGTGGAGCCAGCAAAGAAGGACCACACGCTACCAGTGCTCCCGCCCTTCACGGTGCAGAACGACGCGCCCGACACGCTCACCATGCGCCGTATGGACCGCATGCTGCATCCCTTCGCCATGCCGCCCGAGGACTTCCCGCCGCCCGTGCAGCCACAGGGCTTCTCCGGCCTCTTCCTCAAGGGCACTGTCTTCGAGCGCATCGTCAACTTCTGGCCCTTCCGCAACACTGCTGGCGGCAGCAGCAAGAGCAAGACCAGTGCCAGCAGTAGCAGCAGCAGCATTAGTGCTGTCGCCGCCGCTGCGCCCGCTGCTGGTGCTGCTGGTGGGAGCAACACGTCTCTATCTACCCTCCCACAACCCCTCTCCAACAGCAGCAGCGGCAGCAGCAGCAGCATCCCGATTCCAGCAGCGGCAACCAACACCGCCACCACCAACACCAGCACCACCACCAGCAGCAGCAGCAGCCTAAGCAAGGCGCTCCAAGGCCAGGCCTCCCCTCTCCGAACCTCCTCAGGCTCGGGCCCCTTAGCACCGTGCGCCGACCTGCCAGGCACGGGCAGGAGCCCCGCGGGTAGTCCCCTAAGGCTGTTTGGGCGCAAAGGATCGGACGAGGGTTCGGGAGGCGGTGTGGGGGGCCTGTGGAGGCGAGGCTCGGGGGGGCTGAGTTCATGGGTGGGAGGGGAGGAGAGTAAGGGAGGGGGGAGTGGACGGACACCGTCTTGTGCTGCTAGCCCTGGAAAGGAGGGGTAGGGGGTAGTGGAGTGTGCAGGGGAAGGTGCAGTTGGGACTGCAGAGGAGGGTGCAGAGGAGGTGCAGAGGAGGGTGCAGTGGGTGCGGAGGAGGGTGGGCGTAGACGTGGGTTTCAGCAAGGGGGAGTAAGATTGAGCTGTGTAGCAGTGGGAATAAATTTTTAATGGGTGGTTTGATTCAAAGTGTATGGTGAGACGTAGCACATACTACTGTATGCTTGCTGCATGGTGGCTCACCTGGTTACAAATTGGTAAGATTTTTCAGGCGATCAAATAGCCTGGCTCGTCTATCATAGCCTATATCTGATAGGGATGGCATGGCAAGTGTTGGCAGCTGATTATGTTGGTGAAACGAGTCATGTTAACAAATTTGCTGCCATTTTTTCAACTCATTTACACGTAACGCTGTTTCGAGGACACGCGCCATCGTAAACCATCCCCGTTACAGCACATTCCTCGCCACACCACTTCGGATTCGTCACGCCACGTCACATCTACGCATCACAGAAGAGATGCATGTCACTCACATCGACTTGCGGCGTTCGTGAAAGTGACGAGTCCCATTCCATCTGGCCTGTGTTGGGTCTTTCAAAGCGCGGTAGGCCCACATTCATACTCTCCTTGGCGGGCTGTCTGTCGCTCGGATCGGAGGGACCACTTCATTCATACACTCTCCAGCACTTGCCTCTCCGCATTCCGAATTTCCGATTTTCCACGCCATCGCATGCACGCTGCGTCGGAGTCGCATCTCGCGCTGCTCCCTCGTCCAAGCTCCCACTCGCTCACTTTCGCTCTCTCCCTTTCTCTCGCGTTCCGCCCCACCTCCGTCTCTTGATGGCCCTCGCCGCTTACCGCGTCGCGTCGTCCTCCCTCGCCTGCCCGCGTGCCCTCGCCACCACCGCCCGCCTCCCCCGCGCGTGCCTCCCCCACTTTACTCTCCCCCAGTCGTACTTCCCCCACACCGCCCGCCCGCGCTCCACCGCCGCCGCGTGCCCCGCCACCAGCCGCAGTGAAAAGCCACGTGGCGTTGCGACCATGGCGACGTCGCCGTCCAACGCGGAGATGGCCGGCAGCTCAGAGGAAGGTGAGCGGTGATGAGGTGGTGAGCGGTGATGAGGTGGTGAGCGGTGATGAGCGATGGTGAGTGGTTGTCGAGTGATAAAGCGGTGGTGAGGTACGCTGAGACTAGAAACGCCCTGCTCTCTCCTCCTTTCGTACCCCTCCACCCCTCCCGCTTTCTCCCCATCACTCCAGCGGCCTCCTCGTCTCTTTCCTGTTCGCTCTCTTTCCCGTGCTAGTGACCGACCCGTTAACATAACCACCACTCCACACCCCACCAAGCCCAACAGTGTTGTGAAACCACTCGCTCGCCTTGAACCCTCGTTGCCCTCCTCCCTTAGCTCTTGCACTCGTGCACAGCCTTCCCCTCACTCGCATGCTCCATACTGCTGCCACTCAAACGCCTTTCCCTCCTCTTTCCCAATTTCTTCCTTTCATTGCCTCCATCTCACCCCTCACCTCCTCCTTCCCTCCTCTTATGCCACCATCGCCCTTCCCCCCTTCCCCTTCCCCGCGCAGCACCATTGGCGAGTCGGCGCTGTGTGCCGTGTGAGGGCAAGGGGCTGCTTCCACTGCCTACTGACCGCATCGCCACTCTGCTGGACCAGGTGGGCGCCACTACAGCTGCTACAGCTGCTGCCACGTTTAGGAGCTTCAGGTCTCTTGCATAACTTGCAGGATGCACGAATGTGAATGTGGTGCGCGCATGAAATTTCATGTGATGTGAGGCTTGCTGACTTGTTCACCCGCTTACATGCACGCCCACATGCTCTCACATGCACTCTCACATGCACTCACATGCACTCTCACATGCATGTGCACTCACATGCACTCACATGCACTCGCACATGCACTCTCACATGCACTCTCACATGCACGCCCACACTCTCACATGCACACTTGCACGCTCACATGCACTCTCACATGCACTCTGACATCCACTCTCACATGTCACAATCACCTTCGTTACCACTCTTTTTCCTCACTGCCATGCCCATCCCACGTCCATCGCTCTGCTCCCCATGCCCTCCTCCCTGCCATTGCCTTTGCACGAGCGCAATAACATGTGGCTTACAAGTCCCTACCTCTTAATGTGTTCTTTACAACACTTCGTTCTACCTTCAGTTTATGGGACATAACACTCTGCATCGTACCACGAATTATCTCTGGGCATGATATGTGACGTGTACGTTGCTACTACATGGGGTGTGACTGCTCGTATGCGGTGCTGTGCGGTGTGCAAGACAGGTGGCGGGGTGGGAGGTGGTGGAGGAGGGCGGCTACCAGCGTATCCGCCGGCAGTGGCGCACCCGGAACTTCCTCGCAGGCCTCACTCTCTTTGACCGCGTCGCTCAGGTCGCGGAGGCAGAAGGTGGGTGCTGCGCCGTTTTTGAAGAGGCCTAAGATGGGTGTTGCTCACGCACCCGGAACTTCTCTGCGGGCCTCACACTCTTTGACCGCGTCACTCAGGTCGCCGAAGCTGAAGGTGGGTGTTGTGTTGCTGCTGGCACATGCCACCTCTCTTGTGGTGCTCCTCTCTGTGGCACAAGAGCTTGAACAGAGTTTGTCTCACAGTGGAGGCTTGGTTGGATCATGTGTACTTTCAGGCACTGTGCAGTTCGCCGCTCTTCTTGAATGGCTGTACCAACTAGACATAGCCCCAACTAGACATGAGCAAGGGTGCAACCTGAACTATAACCTGCTCTGTCCTGTGACAAATCAGTTTCTCCCGGCCCAAACTGGGGTCCAGTTTTTGCTCATTCCGGAGCGTATGTCAGTCCGGTATTTTCACGAAAAGGTGCTGCACCTATAAATCTGAACACGCCCTAAGTGTGTCTTCATTTCCAGCAAACTCTTGCCCATTGATGTGTCCTGCTATGAAGGGTGGAATTTGGCACCTCTGGCTGGGGCATGAATGATGGGGTGCGGTGCGGCGTTGCATAGTGGAGAATACTCTGATTTTATTTCTAATCCATTGCACTTGCCTTGTGTCTCTTATCCCTGCTGCTTTTTGTTATTTATGTTGTGTTCTGCACGTCGTGTGCCCGGCATACCGTTTTGACTGCATGCCATGTTGACTCCATGCTATGTCAACTACAGGTCATCACCCAGACCTCCATTTGGAAGGATGGAACCATGTGCGCATTGACATATACACGCACGCCATCGGTACGCCTCACACACTAACAACACATCGTTACAGTATATCCCTACCTAGACCGCGAACATGACATGTGGACCTTCACATGACAATGTGGTCAATAGTGGCTTACATTGATTATCAACTTGTGGATGCTCAGCTCATGCTGCCCACGTGCCCTTCCCCCCTTGCAGGTGGGCTGCATGAGAACGACTTTGTGCTGGCAGCTAAGATCAACGGGCTGCACCTGGAGGATCTGCTTCGCAAGCCAAAGACTAAGATTGCTGGTTGAACCAGTGTGGGATGAGGGGATACTTGGAAATGTTTAGTTACGCTAGGTGTTGTGCCATCTGCCAACGCTGCTTAAGTTGTGTGTAAATAGAGTGTCAAAATGAGCGTGCACACTGTGTTTTGGTGCGTGGGAGGCTGCAGCTTCTTGCCAAGTTTTTTATTCTGTGCACACTGTGTTTTGTTTTTCAGATATATTGTATGTCTAAATACCCATAACCTTAGTCCCCCATAATAACACCCGTAGATGTCATACCGGCATGTCGACTATTACAGTATGTTCGACAGATTTGGTATGATAGATTTCTTTTAAACAAGTTAAGTGTAAAGGTGTTATTGGTTTCATGGAAAGAAAAATTCGCAATAGTATTGGCATGTAGATAATGTTTCGAACAGAAACGACCAGCTAGTTCATATTGAGGATAGCTCAAAGCCTCTTTCCCACCCAAGCACACAAACGTCAATCCCTATGGCTGCTGATCCGAATCTAGCAACTGAGCATGGCGTTCGCTCAGCACAAACCTTGGAAACGATTTTCATGGCGATGTGCGATGGTTTTGCGAAAGGCTTTCGCGAGCTGTGTGTCTCTTCTCTTATAAAAAGAGCTTCCCGGAAACGGCTAGGAATCTTTTACGAAAACAGTGGCGGGAAACTGGTGACGCGGCTCGACGGTCTCACGAGCCTGAGGACGTGGCACCTCTAGCACCGAGCCTGCGATCGAACCTGCGTAGGGTCGAATGATTTAAAAGTTTAATATGGTATTGAAAGTTTCAAATGCTTTTAGCAGGTATTCAGTACGGTTGAATCAGCGAGCCTGCCATCGTTCGTGCAAAATTGCTTGAGGTGGCGCGTCCTGAAACGCAGTGACACCTAGAGAATGTCCCCGAACCTCCGATTCCGATGATTTTGCCTGACGCGGCTCCACTGAGATTCCCGAACCTGAACCTCCAGAGAAAGACGCTTTGAAATCCGTCCACACACCTCGGTCATTGCTTTCTTCACCGTTTAATCTGTGTGACGTGGCACGCGAATGATCAGGCCAAGGCAGGCCGAGGCTGGAACTCCAATGGTCAGGCAGAGGAGAAATGTGGGCGTGAAGGGTTGAGCGGCCGAGGGCGGAGTAGAGTAGAAGAGGGGTCGCCACCAGGGCTGTCGATTGGTTTGGAGCCAGAACTTGAGAGGCAGAGGTGCCCCAAAAGTTGCCCTGAAATTATCGGGCTGAGAGCAAACCTGGCACTTGAAATCATGGCTACCAACTTTTTTGCACTTTCGCTAAGGAAACCCCACATCTCTTCGGGTCCGTTATCTTAGGCAAACTACTAAGATCCAGCTAAGCAATAGGCTGAGGTACGAAACATGTCGATGGATTTGACAGGGATGGGAAAAGTAGGGGAATGGCTGGGAGGAGGCGAGTGGACTGGTGAGGGAATGGAAGGGAGGGAGGTATTAGTATGGGACGATTAGGGCTAGCCGCGGGATCTGCACTTGAAATCCGGGTTAGGCCCACAACCAGCACTTAACGGGGACGGGCTGCCCTCAAATCCAACCCTTAAACTTCGGAAGCTGGGCCGAACCCAGCCCTTAATGTTCAGGGCATTAAGGGCATTTGCCCTTGAATCGTCAGCCCTGGTCGCCACAGTTGTATCTCATCATTCTCCTGCCGTTCTGTCGATTCTCAGTCAACAAACCTTCCAGAAATCAATATTTGTTCAACGATCAGCCTCTCTCCAGCAATCTGCTATCAACAGTCTCCTCGCAGCCAAATTAACATGGCTTCTTACGCTCATAACTGCTATGTTAACTCTGCTTTTCAAACCTCGAGCAGTCCTGCAACGCCTACCAGAGGCATTGGCAGGTTCGGAACCCCTAAAACCGTTTTCTTGCCTGCATCATACTCTCCTGCCAAGCCTGCTGCTTGCACCAGCGACGCGGAGTTTTGCTGCAGCAGTGTGCTTCTGAAGAGCGTGAGGCCGCTGCTGGAGACACTGGCGAAGCACATGCATGCGTCGTCCTCGCAAGGTCTCGCTGACGCCCTGCGTAAGCCTATCAAATCGTACGTAGCTGACGCACCTGATGTGAAGCGGCCTGGAATCGGCCGCTTCGGAGGCAAGCCTGCTGCTCCCGTTGCACCTGTGGTCGTCAACGCTGCTCCCGTCACACCGTCTGCTGTGGTTGCGCCTGTGGTGGTGCCTGAGGTAGCGCCTGTGGCTCCAGTGGCTTCAACCGCACCACAGGTGGCTGAAGCGTCTGTAACAACAGAAGCAATGTCCGAGGAGGCGAATGGACGTGCTGCTGATCCGAGTGAAAAAACGAGGTGGTCGAAGCTGCGTCAGGAGGTTCAAGCGATGGATGTTGCATTGACACCTGCTGCTTTCCTGAGGTGGGACAAGCGGAGCAAGGAGACATCGTGGTCCAATGAGATTGAAGTGGCCATTGAAGCCGCCCTGCGAGTTTGCTTCTTGCCCAAGCATCCTAATGCTGTGGCGAATCTGACTCGCAAAACTGTGCCTCCTGTATCTGCAGCAGCAGCGGCAGTAGCAGTGTCCGCAGCTCCAGCTGCTCCCTCGCTCGCAGCTAAAACAACAGCGAAATCATCTGCTGCAACATCACCAGTAAGAGAAGCAGCAGCAGCAGCAGCAGCAGCAGCAGCAGCAGCAGCACAGAAGCCAAAGCCTGCTGTTGCAGCAAGGTGCAAGGTGGGGGGTGAAAGCGCGAAGGGCAAGAATGGGTGCAGCAGCAAGGTGGTGAGCATGGGTGTGAAGGGTGGTAAGGTTAACAACACGCTTGCAAGCTCTGCCCTATGTGCAGCAGCATCTGCAGTTGCGGGATCACGTGGTGCTACATCATCAGTGAGAGTAGCTAACAATGCCAGAAGCAGACAAGCGGGTGGGGTGAAGAGGAGAGAGGAGGGTGGGTGTGGGGAGGGAGCAGCAGGGAGGGCAGCAGGTGGAAGGCAGGGAGGTGTGAAGGCAGAAGGTGGCAGAGCAGTGGCAAGTGGCGTGTGTGGCAGGGAGGGGGTGAAGCAGCAGGCGGGGAGGAGAGAGGGTTTGGTGCATGAGAGGCAGCCAAGGCCTGTCTACAGCAGCAGCAGCAGGGCGCACAGAAGGAGCTCCTGAAAGAGCCCTCATAGGCATGCTGGCCACAGCAATGGCTGCTCTCAGCATTAGAACATCCCATAGGAACATGGACTGTACATACTGTTGGGCTGAGAAATAGCCCTTACGATCTTTGCAGGGGTGAACACTGGGTAGGACTGATGTAATAGCGGAAGCTTTAATGAAGTAGTTGAACCACCTTGCGCTAGTATGTGAGGGCAAAGTAGATGGATTAAAAACAGAGAGATACCGTACTCTCCCGGACATAACACCCTAGGGTATAGCTAAAAATACAGGGAAAAAATGGGGGGGGGGGGGTCTCCTCATAGGAAAAAAATACATAATACCCGGGTCTTTACATATGGCATATTTTAGTGTTAGTGTTTTTTTAATTAGTCAATGTGGGTGTTTTGCTGGTCGTTTTAGCATCACTGCCTAAGGCGCGAATGTCAGTTTCGGCCTCGAACTTCATCGCCCTCACGAAAATGCCATGTGACACCTCTCTTGCCACTTGCAACGGAAGATTCACCTGCACGTGGCAACAGAGTAATAGTGGGAGGGGGCAAATCTCGGCAGATTGCCTTTGAATGTACCTCGAAATTTCATTGAGGGAGAAATTCACACGATATTCTTCCGTATTGCAGCAACTCGTTAACGACTATAATAATGAATCCGTAAGAAAAGGGGGGTGTTATAGAAAATCAGCCAAAAAGGGGGGTATCGTAGAAACGAGGTCTATCATAACACCCACCCCGCATAAGCTACCCGGGGGTGTACAATTATGGGGGGGTGTTTTGTCCGGGAGTATACGGTACAAGATTATATAAGAGTACAAGGAATATGAAGGGGTACAGTTATAACTGTTTTACTGTTGTTGTTGCGGTTCGATACAGTGACGACTCGGGCAACTGCTCTGTAGCGAGTCAGTTGTGTGTCCTTGCTGTCGCGCTGTACTTTGTCAGGTCAAAGGTCGCTGACCTTTGACTTTCGCGTAACCTCCAACAGTTACTTTCAACCTCTGAGGGTTGACTCGCCGGTGCTTCGATATGCTTCGCTTCGTTTGTGCCTTAGTGTTTCGACACGGCAGAGGCGTTTAAGATCGATTGTTTCCAACACATACATGGGTACAACACTGAAGGGTGTGCTGGAATAACTCCCAGCTGCTGTTGGGTTAAGTAATGACTTTTAGGAAGTACGGTATGATGTACATTGCATTGTAGGACATGTTAATGTCTAGAATAATACTTGTAATGTTGAAGTAAATTGCATTGTGAACTCTCTATTTCATCTGGGTGAAAGGAAAGCAGTTATCTAAGAAGAGTGCAGGAGCACAATATCATCACTAATTTACCGTACTTCAATTCAACACACACGGGTGATTTTGGTACATAATCTAAGATCTTCGGAGCAGATGCTTCCAGAGGATCATGAAGTGTATATTGATAGCTTGTGAATGGAACAGCTCCCGGCTGTGTGTCAAAAATCTTGGCACTATCCTCCACCTGTGCCTGCATTGGACAGTGTGTACGGTACATGGGTTCGTGGGTGAATAAGCACATGGATGCATGGATGCATGGGTGCATGGATGCATGGGTGCATGGGTGCATGGATGCATTGCTGCATTGGTGCATGGGTGCATGGGTGAATGATTGAATGGGTGCATAGGTGCATGGGTGAATGATTGAATGGGTGCATGGGTGAATGATTGAATGGGTGCATGGGTGGATGGGTGAATGATTGAATGGTTGGATGGGTGGATGGGTTTAGGGTCACACATCAGAAACAAGGTAATGGGCAGATTGATGAAAACCAGAAATTAACGGGTGCATGGGTGCATCGGTGTATGTTGTTAGGAGGAGGAGAGGGAACGGAAGCAGCAGAGTCATGGGAGAGAATGCGAGGTGGTGAG